TTAGGAAAGCTTGATTTTTGTCTTTCCAAAAGCTAAATTGCATACTTGAGTGAAAAACTGTTATAGCGGCTAATATATCTTCTTTTGTTTGCTAAAACTAAATTGCACTTTTAAGGTAATGACTACAATTCTTTTACAATCAACAAGGCATTTGTGAAACTCTGAGAAATCCCTCCAAGGGAAAAGTGCACGGGAAGAATCCTTCCGGCCGTTTCCTTGACGGAGATGTAGCAACGTTCTCTTGCGACAATGGTTATGACTTGTTTGGTAAAAAGAGAATTCGTTGCGTTGGCAAGAAATGGGACTCCACCGTACCTCAATGTAAAGGTGAGTGTATTTCGTACACATGCTGATGGATACGCGTCAATAGCTTTTCAGAGCGACTTCTGAAAATGGTTCGCATGATGTTCATTTCAAGTTTAATAGCTTTATTTAAGGTAAAGAACAGGTCTATGCACCCATAGAACTGATTTAGAATGTAGAAAAATTCTGTTTCTTTCAAATAAAAATTGTACTTAGATGAAAAAAACTCTATTCTCACTTCATCCACGAAAAAGACATACAGGAGCCACAAAGTTTCTTTCTTTTTAACTTTTAAAAGGAAACCTATGAGAACTATCAGGTCATAGTTTCTAAAAAGATAGATCTTCCAGACATAAAATCGCATTTATTCCCACATACTGGTTTTAGGTAATACCTAAAGACGCAGATTCATATTGGTTGACTCCTTATTTGCAGCTCGTTGCAGAGTTTCAAGAAGACCCGTTAACGGTTATGTCAAAATAGGCCCAAAAAACATAGGGGAAATGATTAAGCATGGCGAAAATATCACCTACGGTTGCTTGGACTCTTACACCATTGAGGGAAGTAGTGCTCAAATATGTGACAATGGTCGATTGACAAATGCTGTTCCTAAATGCAAAGGTCTGTATCGATTTATTTTTGAAAACGAACTTAGCAAGCACTTACGGGACTTTGTTGGGTACAAAACACTTAAAAACATTTGGTGCAAGAGAAAGCTTTCGAAATGTTTATAATAATCTACTAAAATCTTAGTGAAACTTGAAAATTGGCAGAACTTATGAACATAGTTGATAAACTATGGCAATCGTTCACTG